ATTAGCATTCCTCTAGAATCTACTTTCGTGGGAGCGTCGGTTCGATTAACCTGTCTATCAAAAACACCTTAGTTCTGTTTTCTCAGCCCAAGGGAAAATTATCAACTCACTCACTGTTTGACTTCCAATCAATGACGACTAACTCTGTATTTTAATTGGCTAGCTTTTCATCTTATTTTGTAGCATGTGATTCCTTCTACAACTATCGCTGATGGTTCACTACGTGCTCGCAAACGAGTGTGAGAACGTGGAACAAGAATATCTGACGGAGTGTCGCTAGCGGGCTCCCCAACACCATGTTGGTGAGGTATGATTTTTCAATGCTCAGACCGGCTATCAGGTGTTTACTCACCTGCCTCTTGCGTCGCCATCAAATAAAAAGTAAAGAAGGAGCTACTTCAAAGATGACAGTGAAAACCAATCAAACCTGAAGATCTGCTCTACTGCCGGCATATATTATTAAGATACAAAATGGAAATACATAAATATGATTGATAATTGTTCGGTTCCACGTAAGTGATTGGCCTCTAGAACGGATTGGTATTGTGGAAGGAAATAGACATAGTGTAGATATCTTGTCTACGAAAAAGTATGAAAACAAAAAAATACTTTTTTATAATGCATATGTAAAGGTGTGAACTTTCTAGAAGTTAGACTCTTTGTCAAACCCTATCAAATGTACGACCTTGAGTCCGTGATGACCGCCTTTTATAACGAGACACGTAACCAAGAGTGCCTAAGAGTACTCCACAAAACGAAAAAGAATATACGGTTAGGGAGGAAAAAATTATGTAGAGTACGAGGATCAAGTACATTTGTGTGGTTTGATGTAGGTGTGCATGAAATATTGAAGCAATATTTCGTCAATTCATCCAGGTAACGAATTGGTCTTCACCTAAGAAGTGTGTAAGTCCTATTACTCATTAGTATTATAAATGATCAATCAGTGTAAGAAAATATTGTAGTCATTTTCCCCGCGGCCATTTGGAACAGTACAAGTTCTTTGTACATTAGTAATAATACCATAGAAATACTACAAGTTTGGTTGATTTCAATTTTACGTTATATTTAAGCCAACAAGAAAAAATATAAGTTACTAACATAACATGTATTTTTATAACGCTAGTGTTAAGTTCCAGAATTTTGTATGGACCACTAATAACAATCGATTTAAAGTGAGCATAGCCATGGTAGTCATATAGTCAGTTCGATGTTATGATTACTTAACAGTTCCCTCAGAAGTTGTGTTTAAAATTAGGTATGTGGAATCAATGCAGCTAATATAGTAACTTACAGGTAACATATTGTACTATATCTTCACGGTTATTGATTCTGGGATGTCAGAAACTAAAGAAAAATCTGAATGGTGCCAATAAAACTGGGTTATACGATCACATCAAAAAGCATGCTGCAGGAAAACTGATTAACTTATTGCATAATTTTTCTAAACATGAAAAAATGATGAGAACCTAGGCTGTTAAATGCTCACACGTTTTTCGGGTAGGTAGAAGGATTACGTCAAGGTGATTCGCTCGGAATCTACACACGATAACAGTCAATGAACATTTATAGTCCTGAACTTCAGCAACATGAAACTACAGACCGCCACCAATACCGTCAATATAAACGGATAATAATCCACCAAAGATTCTCATCCGGAACTTCCCTTCTTGAATGAGAAGCTTACTGCTGAAGTACATTGTCTGTATTTGAAGTTACGTCTGAGAAAGTCAAACCTGGGGCAAAACTGTGACCAGCTTATCAGAATTGTCTGCAAGTTACGACGACAGTTTAATAAGATGATGTTCCAGCTTCCGAATAGTACGTCTATGGGGAAGAAACTTTGCTATACCAGTACTTCATACTTTTACCACTCCTTAGGAAATATCATAGTAAATTATAATGAACTATACTTAAAATGAATGCAGAATCTTCGCTAGTCTGCAGACGTTATCAACCCGGTACAAAATGATAAGTATTAACAGTAAGATAAGTACACACTTTGGAGAGGGATTTTTAACAAAATTGATAACAACACAAAATAATCAGATACATATAGGATATATGAGTCAAAAAATACCATGATGTAGTATATCCTTATTGACTATAAAAGCTCCGTAAAAAGACAAATTTCGCGAGTATACAGCTGTTGATAGTACGTAAATTAATGGCACATTCACAATCCCAATTCAATTGAACAAATGAATCATTATATGCTTTTTGGCATGTAAAATCCTACATGCTTTTAATAGAATGCAACGTAGCAGCATAATGTTTAAACACACAATCAACTACAGCTTCAAATATAGCTCCATCAATCTCTAATTTTATTAACGTTAACGGGGTGCAGTATATAGTTAACCACCTACAGTAGTATCGTGATACATCACTTATTAAATACCGAGCTCTTTGGATCCTTAAGTTTTGGTTTGATATTCTTTGTAATTTTTTTAATAGTCACTTATTTATATGTATGTGTCGAAATACGGTGAATCTGTGATAACGTTGGTGTGATCAGTCATAACCATGAGTTTCAATTTCCATCTGTTTACAAAATGTTTGATCAGTACCTTTTCTAAGCTAAAATCAAAACCGCGCTGCACCAGGTAAGTGAGTTCACAAACAACGCAGAATTCGTTTGTTATCAAAGAGATAAGAAAATCCTCATAAGTTAAGAGATCCTTTCTATACGAAAACTAGGTAACAAATCGATCATATTAGATAAAAACAACCAAGAATGATGCATCGATGCGGTGGCAGACAAAGTGCGTGACTGAGTAAAACCAACTTATACAGTCCGTATAATATTACAAGGTAGATGCAACATCTCAACCGTGATTACAACGACGCAGTAATCAACTTTACTGGACCAAAAATTAGAGAAGACATTGGGAGTGAGCTAACCAAATACAGTTACTCTGGTCCTAGAATGAAATAAATGTATATTGTTACCGGGGTACACTCACCATAGGCTAGCTCATAACCACCTGACATTAACACCTACAAATAGAACAGGTATCTGAGAAGGAAAATGAGATATTTTGATAACAAAGAAGTCCTAGTATCCTTAATGTGGCGGGTATGTTAATAATTGGGTGTGAATCGTGATATGTGAAACGGCAAAAATGCCTCACTACCTAAATTTAGTTAATATGGTTTCAAAAGCTAATGACATTGACCTATTTTCCTCATAATCCATGCTACATTATTCCTCTGTTTGGCTATTCGAATACAATGAAAATTTTCACGCTACTAGCATAAATTTGTTGAGTGAATCACTAGTTCACAGACAAAGTAATTTTCTGATGCAAGCATTTTGAGTAATTATGTAATATACGTCTTAGAAAGCCAGAAATTTCTGGTTTTGGTTCTTAATGTTATGTGCCTTCCAGAGCCGGACTTGCTGCGACGACGAAATTAATACGTACATTTTCGGAATATGATTGTTCACATTTATTACGAATATCCGTCCCTCACAGTATTTTAGCAATGTACGTGTATTCTCGAGATAAGGAATATCATGAAAATCTCACTTGTTTCTATTTTAATGGTATATAGTATAGACTGATATTTTGGGAAACCTTACCAGCCACGCTAGACATATTTCATTCGCATGAGTTTGTGAATTAGACAGTGCAGTGTCACTAATTACTATCCACATGATCTGTTAAACTGAATGTACACCATATATTGTTTTTTCTTTCAAAACAGTATATCAGAAGTGCAAATGATACAAACCTTCTTTCCTTATCAACATATCCAAATAAAGACAATGAGAGTCAAAATGAATTTTCCGAAGGGCAGTATGTTGTAGAGTTTTGATTTTTTTAGGAAGTCAAGGAATTCCCTAGAGTTAAAATTGCCCCTGGAACCTCTTGGGGCAGTAAATTTCTGATGGCGAGTTCCAAAAACTCCAGATCGTGTGCATGCCCTTTAGCAGGGTCAATGTCTTTGAACTCCAGTACATTCAAAATGATTAAACTAGGAACAGGTTTAAATTATTTGAAATTCGCGTTCACGGCTTTCGGTCGTAATGTCAGATTTTGTCTACCAAATTTTGTGACAGAGTCATGGGAGTCGGGTTAATGACTCACGACAACGTTTGATGAGATAAATGTTCTCCATCTAAGACAGGGTTAAATTTTGTCTTACTTTGGGACTTTTGCAGAGTAATATGCAACGCATAATGTGTATTAACCAAGGAATTTGCAGCCAGAAGGGAAATATTTTTGGCTAGCTCTCTTGCATTTCATTGTCTTCGCGTTATCCATTTCACATCACCCGCAACATTCACATCAGTACTATCCGGGACAATAAGGCTTTATCTGGGTAATCAGTCTCTGCTGCTGCAACTTGGCCACCAGCATCTAATGGTGTTTCACTCGTTAATTGTTTTGGGATATAAGTGCCCATTGCATATCGGATGTTTGGCATGTGCCGTAACAGCACACACGACAGTGACACATTCTTTGCTATCAGTACCCATGTTACCGGTACAGCACTCGTCAACCTCGTTGTTAGCCAACTCCAGAAGGCTAGTTGCCTCCTGAATGAGTATTGCTTTGCTCGAACAACAAAACATACAAATCCTATCGGATTTAAGCTTTGAATACCTTTTATAGGGAGTGGGATATAAGGGATTACATATCATATGGAACCACTTCATACATTCATCACAAAGTATTCCTTTCACAGAGAATAAGCAATAGGGCTGTCCACATTTTTAATAAGGGCCGATAATCTTAAAAATCAACAAAAATAGTAACACGAAGATGGATATGTGAAAAAATTTCAAACTTTAAACGAATAAACCAGGTCAAAATCGACCGGGTATGACTTGATGCAATAAATGCACGAAGAAAAGTCAGCACAATATCCTCTAACTGGAATAAATTCAATTGGAGTGTAAACAGTGGTTACGATGCGCAATTCAGCATCAAAACAGTGAATTTAACTCAAGGAGGAATAAAATCACTTTTATTTTTGAATGGCGCGCTCAATTTAAATCTAATTGAGTCATTTCAATAATATAACCAAACTTATTGAAGTAATTTTTGTCGTAGTTGAAAAGTACTGTGAAACAATAGGAAGCACGCGCTTTGCGGTTTGAACCAACTCACTAGCAACATATTGGATATTGGATGTCATGGGAATTGGCATTGGGCTCAAGGTCTGGGCGCGGCGTTTCGGAGCTTAGACGTGTGGTGATACACGAGGCTAGTTTTACACAAACAGCTTTGAGTTTTTGGCTTCTACTTGAAAGTCGTACGGTATGGCTTTTTTGTGTGTTGAACTATTCTCAGTTGTGCAATATTTTCGGCTAGCCTAACGAAATTATATTTAGTTGATTGTACGCGGTCGACAACAGTATTTGTTTTAATAGTCTTTGTAAAACTACTAACCCTTGTCGTCTTGCCTTCGTGTTTGCACACCCATTTTCACACAGTTACTCATCGACTGGAACTAGTAAGCTAGGTCTTTCGGTTCACGATGCGGTTGCCTTAAACGCGAATTACTGAGCGCTAACAAGTCCATTCTTAAAAATACTTAGTCCGAGAGTTATGAAGAATCAAGATATCAATAGGCCCTCAAATCGTCATACGTTCCCTTTCTTCCTGTTGTAGTGAGTTCTCATATCTATAAAATAAATTCCTCTAATATTCCTTCAGCATTGCTCGTCACCTACTGTTGTCGACACGTTTTACGTAGTTGCTTCATTGTCTCACTGAATCGTCTATTATTCCCTAAGTTTTAAATAATATACCTACCTTTCCCTACAGCCATTTTCGGTTTTCTGTTGTTGTCCCCACTCATTATTGTCTTATTGCTATAGGATTTAGTGCCTTAATTATGACCTTCATGGCCACTGCTTCGTATTAGGTCCTACGTTACATGTCGGTGAGACTATAATTTATGGACGACTTTTAAGCGGCGCGGAAGTGACCATTAGAGTGGACACCTACTCATTAGGACTTAATGGGGGTTATAAAGCAGTTAGAATTCTCATTTACAATTGATGGTTAGGGTTGAAAAATATATTAAGGGTTCTCATCACGAACTGACATCAGCTATAATACCAAGATTCTATTTAGCCAAATGTATGGGTGGATTTCGCCCCAAAATTTGTGACTCGTTATTTTATATCTGATTGGTTCGTCGATAAATTATAGTCTCGCCGTAGCAGTGGTTGGAGATCCTGGATGATCAATAAAGGAAGCAAATATCCACTTAATATCCATCCATTTTCTACGTGTATTCCCGTTTAATGTTGCACTTCTATTACGTTATGCCTAGTCAGTCAAGACTATAATTTACTGACGACCTTTGAGCGACGCCAGTGACCTTGACAATTTAGCAACCCAGGATTGAGTGATGTCTATAATTTAGTATGAGGAATTAGGATTAGGAAGTAGTTAGGGTTTTCATCACGAACTGACATCAGCTATAATGCCAGTGCTATTTGGCCGTATGAATAAATACATTTCGCGTCAAAATCGAAGACCTGCTACCTTAAGTCTTATTGGTTAACCCGTAAATTATATTTCTACCCACTTTTGTTACATTTAGGCTTAATATTCATTTAAACGTGGGTAGGACTTCCAGGACAGTAGCTGCATAAGCGTGGCCATGTGTGAACATCTCGAGAGAATAGACTTTCCACCCTCGACCATACAAGGACATTTAGGAGCAAAGCGTTCTCCGGGAGTGGTTTTAAGCGATTCTACGTTAAAACATCCATTTACTGAAAATGACGTCATCTAGAATCTTACACCACAGACATGCTGACTGCACGTACTCTATGCATGTCAGTAAACCACCATGTATTAACCTACGGGCTACATACAGTTTAGGTACCTAACAATACCATCTGACAGCTGATTTCACCTCAAATAAAACTTTTGGATGATACCTAGTCTCACCAACTACTATTTGTTTGTAACACCAAAAATATGGTGCATAACGTTAATATTTAAAGTCCTTACCAGCTACCAGAATGGTTTGTCACTTTTCATCTTTGTTTACCTATACTTCCTTCTGAAGTTAATACGTCATTAATAAACCTGAAAATCGGAAAACGGCACCTATCCATCTTCTAAATTTGTTTTACACAAACAACTTAGCCATCTTATCTAGTCTATATTTTATTTTTAGTCGCGTCACTCAATAAAGTTTGTCATTAAAACTACATTTGACTCCGTTGATCAGTAGTTAAAGTTGCTGAATGACATGGCTCAAAACCGATCACAATAGCATAGATGCATTCACTCCCTGTCTATTCCTAGATCCTGGGTTTCAGAATTACTTTGGACTGTTTATTCCATGATCTATTCCTAATTTTTCCACTAGCACTTCGGTACTCATCTTGATAATTTCATCCCTCTGTGCTGATATGCTGTGACAACTAGAACCGACGCTGATGTATGCCAGATTCTACGTTATTCATGACGCGTTGGTCTGTTGGACTCACACGTCACTCAAAGGTGTATCAAAGAAGTAAATGAACCTCCTGTAGACTGTTACAACACAGTCGAGTCCGATTTTATAGTAAACTGTCATATGAACTGACAATATTAAGTTATATTCATAAGTGCCGCAAGATTTGTCCCAGGCATTTCGAAAATAACACTGTCTGACTTCAGTAATAAATTTATCAGACTCACTTATCAACTTAGAGTATGTAGATGATATAGTTCTGTTCGACAAGAACGCTGATAAAATGCTATTTCCTAAACCCCTTGTGATCCATTTCAATTACTTGGAAATGCGTCTCTCTACCACTTTGGAGCTGGTCTACATCAGCATTTCTGTCTGTAGAAAGTGAAATGATACACCATGTTAGCCGCTTATGAATTCCAATGGGTCTTTGGCTGATGAAGTATCGACACGGATTTAAAACAAGCAACTTGATTTTCGCTAGCTTGGGTCACTCGTGGCGTAAGCGGGATTTCCATCTCACTGTGAAGGTGCAATTATACTGCAGTCCACTCTGTATTACTTGGTGACTGAAATATGCTTTATGAAAATAGAAGGCGTTCTTAAGTTGCGAATTTTCGACCATACTTTTCAAAGCATTTATCACGTATCATGAAACAAGTTGGTTAGGTCGTGAAACTTCCTTGACTTAGGTGAATGGAATATGTGTTATGTATCCCTAACTGCTTCCTACCCTTTTGCTCGACGGTAGCATATATAAAAGTAAGTTGAGAGAAAGCTAAGGACATCTAAACCTTTAGTTCATAAAGCCATTGATTGTTAAGAACACTGTGTAACATGACTCGAAAGCAGTCTAAATGTCATAAATGCATTTACTGCCTATCGTTTAATTTTTGTCTAACAATCAGTACAAACTTTTGCCTAAATTCATCCGTTTGAGAACCGTACTTCCTCATTTTTAGTGTTTCTCATGGCCATTGATACTACTGTTTTTTTTCGACTCAGAATTCATCTTCATTTCACTGTACCGAAATGTTGCGTCGACTTGGAACGATGCTTGTTTCCTGTTTGTTGATGGAATATATTTGTGGTCAAACGTTCGACATTGAATCCTACTAGTTTTCCTAGTCGATATGTGTCCATCGTATGCAATATTATAGTCTGTTATCGTAAGCAGTTAAATATTATGTGCGTCTAATTTTTGGGAAAATAAGATGTAACCAATATTACTCTTTTAGTTTCAGGCAATTTCGAATAAACTTCTCAATTTCGCATCTCAGTGATCTTGAGACTATTATTTACAATGAAAGTTACATTTCTTTAACATTGGTACTCCTCAATTCATCTCATAACCTCTCAGTAAACCAATGTCGTCTACTGCATCTGTAGTCCCCAATGTTTCATATCATTTGCCCAAGCCTGTTACACAGAATTTCCAGCACTTCGATTGTGGTTCTGATGGGTCAGTGTTGGGATTCAGCCATCAATCTCCCCAAAATAATGATTATGGGCCTACTACTAATTTTATGAAGTCAGAGTCATCTATATCCGCTTCTAAACTAGTTTCCTATAACTTAGATAACGCTTTACGTCTATCATTAAAGTCATCTACAGTCCCGCTTAATGGGCATATATCAAATTATACAGAAAAACTGTCTCAACGACCTTTGTCTTTCCATGAATCGTCAGCCCCTCCTCTGGATTCAGTAATCAAGCAGAAAATCCAAAGTTTACCCAGATCTTTGATCCTAGAAGATTCGGAAGAATGTAAATCCGTCAAAAAAAGTATGTCTTTTCATGAAAATATCTGACAACTATCCACTGTTACACATTTAATTTCAAAACCTACTGAGTTTTTTACATATTCAGGTTGGCTAAAATCTTACATCTGATTTCATTTATTCCAAAAGTGAATATTCATGTGCCTACTAATAGTTTGGTACTGTCCATCCATCTGTGACATGCTAAATAAATCTATTATTGAGAGGAATTATATCGAGGTATAGCAATTCACTTATCGTTAAATAATGGCACTTGTATTCCACTGGTCTATTGGGTTACTCTTACTATCAGAACTATATCAGCACCCATCAATAATTTAACTCACATATTCAGAATACAGTAATCACGTGAATGTTTATTAACTGCTGCCCATTAAAACAGCATCTAGTTAAAGACGCAAATAAATTTATTGACCATTAATCCCATGATTTCTTTATTACTATTCAGAAAGCCTTTGACGTGCACATGTAGTGCCTTAGAGCCACTTTTGACGTATAAAACTTTACTAATTTTCCCACCTCTCACTAGAATTCGTTTCTTAATTTTAGTTATAATATTTAAAACAAGATACTCAAACCTTTATGTATGAAGACAAGCATATATCCCTAGTAGAAATTTCATATCTACTAAACCGTTCATTCATTATCCATTTACTAGGCTTTTTAAGGTTAAAATTACATATTTGTGGTTACTTTTTGGGGAGAAGACCAAAACTAGCTCCAAGATAAAAAAATAAAATAATATTGGTGCCTCATCTAATCTAAATTATGAATAACAGGATCCATTAATTCCAAACGTTATCATCTCATAACGTCCATTCAAGAAATGTGGCTAAAATGGATATAAAGATATAAGAGAAATGTTCTTGGTGAGTGCTACTATCAAATATGTTTTTCGGTGGTACTGAGTTTTAATTCACTGTATGTAAATACATCTTAATCAAGTTGTTATCTCATCAAATACATCCACTCGTTTGGTGTGTGACGAAATCTCAGCACGGATACAGAAGGCTCGACTAGCTTTTGCCAACTTGCGTCATTTATGGCGTAGGCGAGATATCCGTCTATCAACCAAAGGACGTGTTTACTGCGCAGCAGTTCGTTCCGTCCTACTTTATGGCAGTGAAACATGGCCGGTAAGAGTAGAGGATATCCGTAGGTTACTAGTATTCGATCATAGGTGTCTTCGAAACATTGCTCGTATATCATGGGACCATCGAGTAAGTAACACAGTTGTTAGGAAACGGGTACTAGGTAAGGATGGCAAATCAATTGATGACGTAGTGAAACTTCATCAGTTGAGATGGCTGGGACACGTGTTACGTATGCCCAACGACCGACTGCCTCGACGTGCTATGTTCAGTGGTATAGGAGTAGGTTGGAAGAAAGCTAGGGGCGGCCAAACCAAAACATGGCACAAGTCCATGAAGTCACTGACAAGTGAACTGAGTCATGTTGGTAGGTGTAGACTACCTGGTTGGGGACCGCGAGATGACAGCAACCGATGGTTAGAGACCCTGAATGACATGGCTCAAAATCGTTCGCAATGGCGCAGGTGCGTCCACTCTCTGTGTTCTCCCAAACTCTTATCTTCTGAAGTCTTCATGTCCCTTTTTCCCTCTTTCCAAATTTATTTCACTGGATTATACTCTTTAAATAACATCTCCAAACCCTAATCTTCCCGATTACTGCTTATACTCTTGCTACCTCTACCACTACGGGATTTGAATCGACCACTGCATCTCTGTGCTAATGTGGTGTGGCAACTCGAACTGATGTACGTACGTACGAAGTTCTACGTTGTTACTGACTGACTGACTGACTCGTCCCAAAAATGTAATTCTCACTTAACTTAATCTGTAATTTTCCTTAGAGTAGTACAACTACTCTTATGGTTCATAGGTGCAGAATTAATATCGTAATTACTTTTTTTAAACTGAGTTTGTACTGCCGCATTTCATTTTCTACAACACAATGTTTTTGACAATTCAATCAGTTTTTTGAAGTGTTATAATCAAGAGAATTAATATCACCATTGTGAGTTGTTGTTCTCCGAATGTCAGTAGACATGTATGATTTCTAGGAAAGAGGTCGCGAAAACAGCTAAAATTAATGCGTTTCCTAGTTTACGTTCAAGCATTAGTTTGTTTTTTATACATATACACTGTCATGCAAAAAACACTTGGCAATAAGCTGCCTGTGAGTTATCAGCAACTTTAAGGAAAGCCGTTATTTCAGGAATTCAAATGTGTTGTAGCTTAGCATAAGCAGTAAGTAGATTTCCTTGCAACCAGTCTTGTAAAACTAAATGATCAACAAGATTGTATAATTTATTCTTTAAATTTTGATTACTATCGATTTTTGCTAACGCATATCACTTCTCGCAAAGGAGTATATACCACTCACCAGGTTACTACTATTGATAGCTCTCAAATTTTGGTTTATAAGTCTTTTCGAAGATTCTGGATATGACGTGAATATATATATCATAAAACATAAACCTATGACTTCCTGCTAACCACTTCCACCCATCCAATCGGTCTAACAAACACACTCGGTCAGCTTTGAAGATCAAATAATGACATTGGTCATTACCATCTAATAACGAGTTGATCTATAGTTAGTTTTAATGAATTAAGTTGGATAATAGAATTATCTTTAGGCAATGAAATTGATTCACTTATACAAAATGTTTTCGTGTCATTATGTAAGATAAAAGATATAAGGGAATCGATATTTTCACACGGGTACTAAACTATCATTTCTTTATTCGACCTATCTTAAAGAGGGAATTTCATTAGAGGTGGGAAAGAATAGCAAAATTATCACTTACAAATTAATATTCTCTCCTCATTTTGAATGATTTTAAAAAATAGTTTTAGTATTTTGAGAAAATTAATATAATTGTATGTATCATGTAATTTCTTCAACTGTTCTTGTATTTAACTTCTAGGTTCTCCTGAAAATAAACTCCTATGTTCCGATGATGAACTTGATCATTTGTGTCAAACCGGTGCTCATTGTATTCCAAAAAGAGCTTTGGGATTTGGTAACTCTGGAAATACATGTTATCTTAACTCTGTACTTCAATGTATTTTGGCTACTGGACCTCTACTTGCATATATTAACCATAAACATTCAAACCCTAGTAGCTGTATCATAACTAATGGTCGGTCCAGCCTTCCAAGCTTAAACAAATCTCGGTTTTGTGTTTTATGCGGTCTTTCTCGTCTTATTAATGAACATCACTCTCAAAATGGACGTACAATTCCTTCTTACTTTGTAACAAATGTTCGAGGTAAGCAATAAACATCGGAACAAATTACATCTAATAGTGTAATATCCTTAATAAAATATAATTAATTTGTATGATACAACCTTCCTTCGACATGCTGACAAACTCAACGACTTCACGATAGCTCTCAAAAACAGGTTCCAAACCTTACATGATCTACTGAGAGAAGAAGAAACTACTATGGAGGACAACTGAAAAGGGATCGAAAATGCACTGACTTCCATGTGTTAAGAGTTTCTAGGCCGCAAGAAGCATCATCATGAGGAACGGATCTGTATTACGACCTTGAATAAGATTCAACAAAGAAGGAACTAGAAGACAGCAATTGCCAACAGTCTAACAAGAACAGAGAAAGTCAAGGTACGAGCTGAATACACAGAAGCAAACGAGCTAGTGAAGAAGAGCACTAGAGCTGACAAGCAGAAGTGCGTGGAAGACCTAGCAGTGGCAGTGGAAAAAGCTGCAAGAGACACACATTGAGGAAATCACCTGCTTCGGTTTGGGCACCCGGGCAGTATCACAGCCCTCACACATATCAAATGAGATCTGTGTGGCGCATATGTATCTGGTGCCTCCTTGTACCAATATCTATGTGTTAAAATAAATAAAACAACTTATTCTATCCTTGTTCAATTGTAATTTAACTTAGCTTGTTGCTTTATTCACCATTTCTCTACCTTCGCCAGCTATTTGCCCCAGTCTTCGTCCTTATCAACAAGAAGATGCACATGAATTTCTACTTGGACTTTTGTCAAGAATGGAAGATAGTTCATTGGCAAGTTTTGGCAAAGTGTCTCGTAAAATATCTGAAACAAATGTCATCAGGAGGATCTTTGGTGGTATAATACGTTCAGAAGGTAAGTAAATTATTTGCAACTTTCTAAGTGGTAATACACAACGTATTCTGATTTTCTAAAGTATTAATTTCAATAGCGAATCATTTTGTAAATATTCTTGAAAGATTAGCCATTAATATTATTATTACTATTATTATTATTGTTATTACTATTAATATTATTATTAAACATCCAATATTTATTGTTGTATTCCAGTGACCTGTCATTCTTGCCTCAAAGTTTCAGCGCGGGATGAACAATGCTTTAATTTGTCTATGGATATCACTTGCGCTCGAAGTTTACAGGTTAATCTATTTCCTTTCTTTTTTGAATGTTCTTTCTAACTTTTTGCAATAAAATAATGCTAAGTAGTCCGACCTATTGCAATATTCAGTCATTCAGTCGCAACATAGAACATAGTACCTATGTACATCGTGCATGTCCCAACCAACCTCTGCTGCAATATTGATCAAAATAATAATATTTGGGACAACCAGACTCAGAAACGGCATCATTGACTTTGAATCCGTAGCATCGCTCATACGCAACGTAGAAACCTAACACATATACATGGGTCCAATTTGCTGTACCACACCAGTCAATGTAGTATATAAGCTATCACAGTATCAGTGGTAGTAGGGAAAATTAGCTATAGATAATAAGTTTCGAAAAAAGAATAGATTTATGGAGTAAAGAAAAGTATAAGATAATTTCGAAACCTAGAATGTAAGGAAAGATAAAGAGTGAATGCATCCGCGCCATTACAACCTAAAGTTCGACCATTGGTTACAATAATTTCATGGGCTCCTAACCAGCCCGTAATTCCCTTCCATCTTATCTCTGCATCGAGTAACATTGCTCATCAAAGTAGGCGATAATTAGCCATATGTAATATACATTCCAACCACCTCAGTTATTGAACATTCACTACTTCATCAATCTACTTATCATCTCTAGCTAGTACGTTGTGCCTAACGTCAGTATTTCTCACTCGGTGACCCCAATATACTCGAGTAATTCCCCAAAGGCATCTATAAACCTTAGTCTGTGCCCTATAAGGCCCACATAATAATTCATAGCGTAGAACTTTATGTGATTCAAAATCGATCAAGCTGATTTAGTTGCATTCGTTCTTTAACTTCCTCTAAATCACAAACTGCCATTTTGCGTTTTCATTCGTTCATTACGAACTATTCGCACTACTGTTGGTATTATTCATTTCATGTCGTTACTTTACACTACCTGTCGTGGTGCTGTCAGCGTGTAAGGTTTAGCAGTTTGTGTCGATAGACACTTGTCTCTAGTTCCACTTTGCTTAGTGCACACTGCCTTCATTGATGTCAAGGTGTTTTCATGAGAAATAAATAGTATCAACCCTTGTGTTTGAATGCCAAGTTTTTCAGTAATTGGCTATCAATTAACTAGTTCGTAACCAATTCCAAATCAACTCAACTGACTATGCACTAAACAACCAATCAATACGTGTGGTAAGATAACGGGTTTGTATTTTGTTGAGATAAGTTTCTTTGTTCATTTACTGGAATGGGATGTGGCAGTGACTCAGTGTGGGTGTAAAAGTTCTCGACTTTCTGAGGATTCGAATTCCCTATCTATCTAATTCAGTCTATCTAATCGGATACTATCACCATGCCTTAGATTTTTAATGTGTTCTAAATCCGAGAAAATGAGGCTGTATTTGCTAAGTTTCATAAAGTGATTTTAGAATATACGTTCTCACTAATTACATCATTGATTCGTCCTTAATTCTTATATCATCTTCTACTTTTAAAACACCTAGCCAGCCAAAACGTTCAAAAGCTGAATATTTCATTGTTTACTCTCATTAAAATAAATGTTTATTTGATACAATTCAGCTTTAACTTGTCAATGCTCTTAGCTATGCAATAAATTTTTTTTTAGACCCAATGCTCGATTCTGCTGTGTTGCATTAATTTCTCTTTCTTGTTACCAATCAAAACCATATTAAACTTCTACCCCTCCTTTATCTCTTTTCAGCAATGTCTGTGTAATTATATTCGTAGTGAAGAGTTATCAGGTCAAAATGCTTATAAATGTGAAAATTGTCATCAACTTCGACCAGCTATGAGAAAATGTACCATTTATCGAGCACCACCTATACTTATTATCCAGCTAAATAGGTAAGTAGTTGAATTCTGTTTTTTTTTCATTGTAAGTATTTATTGTCAGCTTTATTTACAATTGTGTATGTAGCGATTTGACGTTTATCTGTTGCTTATCGAGTAATTCACTGTCTCCCGACATGTAGTTTTCTACAACTTCTTACTTTTCGTTAGTTATTCTATTGGAATAAAACTGGGAGGCTAGAATTGCCTATCCATTTCTTACAAAATCCATATTGGTATTCAATAGTAGAGGATAAAATGTTAAAAATTAGTAAAAAAAATTATCTCACTAGCTTCATTACTCATGTTCAATTCATTAAGTCGTCAATCAGTAACCTAATCTACTTCACTTCCAACAGCTAATTAGTGTCTTTAACCTCTATCCAATAAGTTTCGTGCGAAATGTACTACATAAATCTTAATTTGCTTCTCAGATATGATCAGTCGTCTTCTCTTTTTGCTTTGTCATTCTATTTAACCTCTTTAGCTGAACATTGGTCCCCATATTAGTAGGTTTCTTGTAAAATGTCTGGACAACCTGTCTTTTTGTTATTGTTATCCAATCTATTTGGTGCTTAATTTAACCATGTCATCAATCGGTGATCAATAAAATAATCATCAGTTAACACTTTTGTATTAACTGCCATGGCGTAGAGTGATTAGATCACTTTGGACTAGTTAGGTCTTTGGTCCGAACACAACCCCACCTACTTTGATCAGCTTGTTCGAATCCTTAGCTCTCACACAACAGGTATAGCTTCTATTTTGGTACACAAACCTATATTTAGTAGACGAGTCTGTATTATTACTAGTGCCTCCCCTTATAATCCTCTCATATGACGAGATCCAAGTCGGCGAACACTGTTGCTTCCCTTTGACTTCTCATTAGCATAAGTTCAGTATATTTGAAATATTCTTATCTGCTAATATCGAATCACATATTCACTCTACCTGATGATAGATGTAGATCTATACTTCAACTTGTCAAATACAATATGAGTATAGTTTAATGATAGTCAATATGCTTTACTTAATTAGAATTACATTTAATTTGACCAAATAAATATACAACTATCCATGTCAAATAAGCAATTTACTTACATAATTAGAATGTATGGATATATATACACACTAGTCTCATGGAAAACTCAATTATAATCACATTTTTGTGTATAAGACTAATCTCATTTATTTTCATTACGTTTTATACGTATTTAGAAATCATAGAATGGAAGTTTGTGGTCATTGAAAAATTAAACCTATACTCTGATATTATTATACATTCATTATCCTATTCATTAATAAAGAAATATATTTGTGTATACTAATATGTATACGTATAAATGTATAAATTTATATGTATATCTTATGAAGTGATGAAGTTTTGTATTGAAGAGATGAAATGCAAATTACAATCGAAAAACAATTCAATTATCCGCTCTGCAAAAAATAACATCGACTACCATCCATGATGTTCTACCTGTGTATACATATACATATATGGTGAGAAAACTTGAGTATACCTGTGTTTGTAAGCTACAATAATTTTTATTATATAATAACTCCTCCTTTGTACCTTTTCTTCATCCTTTCCCCCCCCGCCCAATGTTCACTACATCTCTTGTCTACTTCAACTGAGTTGATTTTTTTTTTCATGTTATATTCTTGGTTTAACCAAAAATATAATGGCTATCCTTAATTAATACGAGAGTTAAATTAACATCAGACTTAGTGTAAAAGAATTATAAATCTCACTAAATAGCGATGAATTTGACAGATCAGTTTAAGTTGTTTTTTTCTAACATCTCACAGTCTTGTCTAAATATGTCTCTACATTGTGTCATCATTTTCTGCTAAAGTCTATTACCTGTTTCTGTTTTAGTAACAATACTTCTATGGATTTATTGTTCACCTTCTTGTGCTAATAAGATATGGTAACTTGAACCAATGCATATATATGTGCTTGGTCTTATGTTATAGCTGAATGATTTTTAGTTTTGTTTCATCATAACCAAATGTTATTCATAATGAGGTATGAATGTTATTCATATGTTCAATTGTTAATCAATGGTTGGAGACTCTTGGTGACATGGCTTAGAATCGACCACAATGGTGTCAATGTATACACTCTCTGTCTTCCTTTAAACTAAGATTAAAATCTTTCTTTCTACGAACTAATTCTTTCTTCCTGTACTATATCCTTATCGCAATCTTTCTTTTATATATTGCCACCTCTGTATTAGCTACTTTTATAAATCCGGTGTCCATCTTGTTGTGTTAATGAGGTATGGCAACTTCGACCGATGCATATATGTGCCTGGTCCTACGTTGTAGCTGACTAACTGACTGAATGTTATTCATATGTTCAATTGTTAATCATTTCAAAAAAGTCTACATGTCAGAAACTATAAAATTAGTTATCTATTTTATGTAGTAGTATATTTCTAGTCTAAATTCTTACGTTCACCGAAAGAATACTAAGGTTAATGATTCTTTGTTTATTGAGTTATTATTATCACCCCTTCCATTGTTACTAATGAACAATTATAACAAGTAAATTTTTATTTTAAAATTGTTATTTTTGTAGATTTTCACGTCATCAAAAACTTGATATACGTGTAGATTTTCCTTCATCATTTAATTTACGTCCATTTATGACACAATCAAAAGGTTTACCAATATTATATAAATTATATGCTATAGTTAATCATGAAGGATATAGTTGTCGTAGTGGACATTATGTATCATTTACTCTACGTCATGGTCAATGGTTATCACTTAATGATAGTTTTGTAAGTCCAAATATATATTATATATATATGCATATCATTAATGATGTTTACTGTCTTTCTTTAATATAAATATATGAGAAATAATGCAACAGAATTTGTAATTGATTTTCTCTCTTTTAAGTATTCCAATTATAAGCGATTTATTTTTAGTATGATCGGAATGTGTTTTTCCACTCATTAAATGATGATTATGATATTTTCATTTAGACATTGGATTTTGATAATACACAGTGAAGTTAGTAAGTGTATTAATAACTTTATTTCACTAGGTAAGTAGTTGTATCTATCCTAGTACGTTAGTACATCATAGAAATAGATGTCAATGGGAACGGTTGGTCAAAATGACATGTATAAACTGCAATTTTATTAGTACTCAAGATAGTTTATAGTGTATGTAGGTCCAAATTAATTGTCATCTCATCAAATTTATGTGAGGGTCGTGATCCTGCACGGGTGCCCAAACCGAATTAGGTGGTTTTCTTAAGTGACCAAACCCCGAGGTCTGACCCACAAGGCGGTGGAGCATCGTGACGAGATGCAGTCCCATGGTAGCCGGTGACCAACAATTGGTTCATTCTGGAGGCCATATGCACCATTGGTTTGGAATCAGGGTTTCCCAACTCCTGTGGCGTACATACATTTGGTGCCCCTTTGTACCGATATTTATGTGTTCAAATATAAATAATGTAGGTCCAATTATATTGTACTACCACTGCTATTTGAGGTCTTACTCTCAACAAGCGAAGATAGATGAAGATGGCTAAAAATGTGGTTGGTCAATATCATTGAATTTATTGACTGTTCGTTTAAATCACTTTTGAAATTTCAAAGTCTTCACATATAACCTAGTTTATTGTATAAAAAAATACCTGGTAATAGTGCTGACTACATTAGTCCACTAAGTTTTACACTGTTCGATTACCACAATTGGTTCAAATATTATCAGTATCCAATTAGCAAGGGTCTCATTCTAATTGTTAATGTTACATCGTGTTATTAGTGTTTATTTTTATTTGTTATTTGTAGTGGTACTTCAGGTATGTGTTGTCTTATTTTACGATCTGTAGGTTGCAACAACAAATCCTGACCATGTTTTACGTCAGTCACCCTACCTACTGTTCTATGAAGCGGTAAGTTATGATACTTATACTTTTCATTCTTCTTTCGTTACCCATGTATATGTTGATTCATCGGTCTAAGCTCATTCATTTATCGAACTTAACTCCTACTGCTTAATTCTAGATAATTAAAAGTTATGATATTAACTACTCTTACATTCTTCTAGTTTTTAGCACTAGCTTTCGCTTGGTTACTGACTTTGTTCTCATCAACTGTATTATTTTTACTTAAACTGCATTTCTTACTTTCATGTATTGGTTACGTGAAATTGCAAACTGAAATTTTAACGTTATAATTCGTTCCAATTTCTTATAGACTACTTCATTAATTCTGTATAACTTATCTAAATATAGGTCTGTGTACCAGGTTTTAGTTTATATATTATGTCAAAACTGAAGTGTCACAATAAAGTAAACAACGGGAAAATAATAATTGCTGAGAATAAATCAATCGAATTACAGAAATGGAATATGGGGAGGGTGTAGCAACATTTCTAAAGTAATTTTGATAGAAATTCATTCTCTGAGCTGCATAATTTAGTCGCGGAGCTTTCACTTTTCTTTTAAACAATATCATCAGCACAAACCTCAGGTAAAAGTGTAAAGTAACTCTAAAATGTTCACTTCTCTCCTAAATTGACGTAAATGGTTCTACTTTCTCAATAACATTGAAAAGATCTCAATGAAGCTACTCAGTTCAAAAGACATTGTGGTGTGTGCTACTTATATTGATATAAGTAGTATATGTCGCGAGTTAAAACGTAATATCTGGCAGCAGAAGATGAGGTAAAGATCAAGAAAGGAAGAGCGAGAGCACAATGGAATTTGTAAGAAAACGCATGTACAATGGATTAGTGTTTGCAACGGAAACAGTCCAGTTTGATATGATGCATTGATATTTTGCAAATTGACGATTGACTATATGGTATTCAGATTTTATTGAGATAGTCTGTAATTTTTGTGCTAAAGGCATTCGATTGTCCTCACCCGTGTTCTTGTTCACTACAACATCACCAAATAACCAAGATGAAGTTCAAACATGTAGTCTTAATCGCTAAAGAAACATAATAGCTGCTACAATCTCAGATCAACGATTATATAAAACTATATTTCTTACAACAATATCAAGCTGTATTGTTTGTTCACACCTCCAGATACACATTTCATTCTAAAAATTCAAGAATTTTAATCGAAGTTTTTTTATTGCTCATATTAGATATACTATTCTTTGTGGATTATGTTCATCTCAACACAGTCGTATCACCCTATTGTAACTACGGTGAATCAGATTACTTGATTGAAAATGATTTATCATATGATTGTTCCGATTGTCTTCTGTGACTATGTTTTATTATCCTAAATCTATCATAACACGTAACTCTAATCGCTGCCTGTCAGATCAGTTTAAGAAGTAATTTACTGTTGATCCAATCCATGTTGGTAGGTTCACACTATTTGACTGAATGATCACGTGATTATTGTAACCCCTGACAGGAGGACTTTAGGTGACATCGCTGAAAATCGGACACAATGACACGGATGTATTCACTCTTTTTTATCCCTTGCATTTTGAGTTTCGTAATCACCTTATACTTTTTCTTCACTCCATGAATTCATTTGTTCTTTTCGAAACGTATTGTATATGCCTAGTTTTTTCTACTACCACTGTTACTGTTATCTCTCCCACTACTTTGATGTTTGTTTTGATTGTTTCATCTGATTGTGGTAATATAGTCTGGCGACTCGGATCGATATATGTATGTGTCGAATTCTCCATTATATTTGACTGACTCTGTCTTAATCCGTTCCACTTTAAACTTCAGTCATATAATATAGATGTCAGGTTATTTTCACTTTAATCTGTAAGCGATAAATATTACTGTAAACGCTCACTGTGTTTTTTGTTTGTTTGTAGGTTCGTAATTCAACTAACAGTACAGTTACTCGTACAGTAACCTCTAAGGAATCTTCACTAGACACTAATACTCCGAAGCTAAATAACTCCCAGTTACCTCTTGTTAATGATACAGTCAAACAACAACAGTCTATTACAAAACCTTATTTATCATCATCATCGTCTACACAGCCTAATCATCATAAATCTTTTAACATCATAAAACAAACAAATTTACCATCTGTTACCACATCATCTGTTATTTCTCAAAGTACTTCATTTACTAAGACACCAACAATTAATTCATTGTGTTGCAGTAATCCTACCACAAACACGGTATCATCCGTACCGAAAATTGTTTTTAATCCTAAACTTTCATTAAATAAAATAAACATCCTGAGTAAGTTCTCCACTTTATAAGTTTTCTGTACATGATCTTTCTCTGAAAATTACTTTTTTTCAATTTGTTTTGGCCTGTTCGGATAATAAATAGTGTGTTTTGATTTTTATACCACCATAGATTTGTTATGTGTTCAGTTATTGAAAATTACCAGACACGTTTTCTTAAAAAAAGTTGTAATTCATTACTTTTGATATTTTCAGATATAAATCGACTAACATGTACGTAACATTTTGACTTCTAGCGTGATATACTTAGGTGACTACTTTAAATTTAGTAAGGTCAGTCAGTGGTCTTGAATGCTGTTTAAAGGTATCAGGTCGTTTGTCAATTTCCGGTTATCCACACCTTAGAAGTGTTCTTCTCGAGGTACCTGAAAAGGGAATTGGGGTAGGGGTGGTCTTAGTGACCTGAGGGCATGACCGCAGTGCTCATGGGACAACTACCTGAGACCGGTCACACACGATCTTTTCATGAGTAGTTTCCGTATTAGCTCCGTATCCCACGGATTTCCGTGGGAAAAGGCGAGATGTGCATTTTTAGGGTCGACCTTTTCCAAACCCACTCTTCCTTGTAGGAAGGCAGCATCGCTGATATGCTGGTTGTCTGAAGTTAACACCTTACTGCCGTCACACCTCTGTAAAATCAGCAGTACGACTTCGCCCTCGGACCTTGGGCTTACTGCTTTTAGTCTTACCGCTCTTCAACCGACCTGTCTGGCATGGTAGGACCTCGAGGAACCGTTGTTCCAGCTAATATAGCTCGATTGGTTCATCACGATAGACAAGCCCGACCACCACGTCGAAGTATCAGCAATGGTCGGGATTTATGGAGCATATTTTAGCACAACATTTATTGAAACCGAGGATCTTCCTTACTGGACTTACCACCCCGTCTTTTCCTACTACAATATATATATATATATATATATATATATATATATATATATATATATATGCTGACTTTCAGTTTCTGTTCTGATCTAGGAAGAGTTGAGTGGGCTATCATGCATGGTCTCGGTATGCTAGACAGTAGTAGACAGTTTTCGGAAGTTTTGATTCACAGCGCATCATTTGTTTAAATTTTAGCGAATATTTTCCCTACATTTAATTATTATCATACACTTGGTTCCGCTTATTATCTTGAATAGAGCAAGAACAAAGAATTAAGCAGAATAGCATGAATTCAGTTTATTTCGTTAGGTCCTCATCAGTTGCCTACAATCTGTATAATAATTTAATATCAAAATTGTCTTACAAGTCGATGTACTTGCAAAAGTAAAAATCTATAAGAATGTTGTAAATAAATACAATATCTGAAAGATTCTGGATCACCAGACATAGTAACAGAGTGGGAACTATTGATTGATTATGTAATGAAGTGGCTGGACGTAAATTAATGACAGTTAAGATCAGCCTAAGTTTGAAATGATCCAGTTAGAAATAAAATTATGAATATAAAAGAACTGATGCAGCCGAAATAAGCGGGAATAAATCACAAGAATGATGTAATTAACTGACAGTCAAGTCACCATGATGTCGAAAGATTTGCAACTATTTCTTTTTGGATACTTTAATTGGGCTTGAAGTGTTTAATTGCTACAACTTTGGCGAATTAAGGAAGAACGGAATTCGACTGCTGGTTAATGATTCTGAAAGATTTCAGTATACCAGCCCGATGCCCTATCACAGAAATGTTTTACAATACTACTGCTGAAAGCCTTTAATCCTATCAACCTGAGACTTTTGAGGATATGATCTTGAAGTCGAACGTAGATCCTTCTTTCTTTCTTATCATTGTAACTGCTTTAACAGGTACATGTATATTTGTATGCTCCTTTGGTGGTAACATGGAAAAAGTACGCGTTATGACTTAAATCGCTGTACATCATCAAGTGGAATTCATCATCATAACTAAAGTTGCATAACATGTGATCAGTTTACTTGAAATATGTAAAGATTCTCTGATTTTTATTATTATCTGCAAATAGATTGCTTTGTAATTATTGATTGTATTATTATTAGAAATAAGTCGCACAAGAACAAGCATCACTATTTATAAAATGAAGCACAATTATTATTTAGTACTTCACCTATAGGAAACTGAAAATTTTTTTAGGTAGGAAAGCTAATTTCTCCTCAATTCTACTGATATAGACTTCCAAGGGCTCTTTTACCTGTTACATTCTTCACTGTGATATTCAGAATCTAAACACGTGCTCCGCTACCTGTATGACTATTATGCATTGGAAAACAAAACGCTCTCAGTATTCCAAACATGTTAAATTAATGTATTCCTTTCTTATGTATGGTACAATCTGTTTCTTTATCCTATTTATTTGATTAACTTGAATGTGAATTATTCTTTTACTATTTTGTCAATTTACTTCCTAAGTGTTTGATGGTTCCTCTATATTTGGCCTACAAATATGATATTATTATCTGTATATAATTCAGTACTCTTCTTCTTGGGATTTTATTCATATTCAATTGTGTAAATCAGTCTATCGAAATGTTTGGTAAAACTTATGTAAAATCGTATAGTATTACTTGAGTAAGATGATATGTTAGGGATTAAAATCCTTTTGTTTCAGGTATTATATTAACAATTATGAATGGATAGTAGTTACTGATTGTAATCTATCTCTTTTCGATGAGATTAATGAAAACTACACACTGTCTAAATCGGGTTAACTGACTTATATTCGCTTCCTAATGATTATCTTGCCCGAACATTGTCTATCTGTTTTAGCGTCCCAAATGGACATATGTGTATAATGAGTAGTGTATCATATTATTGCCTTTACATTATAGTGACAGAAAATTGCATTTGTTAATCAAACACTTGTGAATGTATTGTATAGTTTCATGTTTCAGGTTTTATTTATTTGATCATTGCTTTCTTTTGTTTGTATTTTTTCAGCCTCACCAATTGTTCCTTCTACATCGATATCAAATGGTCCCATTAATTCACTGTCTTTTACTTCGAAGAATAAAAATATTCAAGATATAGTAGAATGTGGTAAGAATCATCATTCAAATATTATATCAACAGTACCTTCAGCCAGCAGTAGTACTAATGGTACGACAACAACCATCTCTTTATCAGCGGCCACTGTCCGGGAGGTTAGATTTTATCTTTAGTTGTTTTGTATTGATTTTTCGTGTTTAGTAGTAATGTAACCACCTTTTTTAAGTGGATATCTATAGGTTAAAATAACCGTTATCGGTGGTTGGAGATGGGTGACATAGTCCACAATCGGTTTTAATGGTGCAAATGCACTTACTCTGTCTTCCCTTCGATTCTGGTTTCCAAATTATCTTTTGTTTCTCATTCCACGCATCTGTTCTGCTCGAATCATACCATCTATGCCTAATTTTTTTCTGCTATTAATGTTACTATTCTTCGTGCTGCGACATAGCAACTTAAACCAGTCCCCACATATGTACCAGGTTTCTCTTTGCTAATGACTAGCTTACTTCCACTTAGTACATTATCTTAAACTGGTTATAACGTTATAACTTCCAAATCTATTCAAAAAAACCTAAATCAACTCAAGAAGGTCTCAATTGTCATAATTCTAGGTTGATAAAGGGGATACTATGTGGTGAGTAGAAGTCGAATTGATATGCTAATTAGTAAATCCCAGCATTCAAGTCATAGAGCACACTTGACAACATTGTATTCTATAATTTCAGTTAGACACATAGTAATGTACAGATATGTCATCATTACATCACAATCAAATTATATTCAGCTTTTAATCAATCGGTTGTATGTTCAAACAATTCCATCTGTCTTATTTCTATCAGCATTTTGGTAATACACGCCGTAGACATGAAGAAAAGTGTGACTTAATGCCGGTTACCATACTACGTTGAAAACGACGTTCCTCGTCCGACCACCACAGTTCAGCATCGTTGAGCCCGGTCAGTACTTGGATGGGTAACCGGCTTTAAATTTTTGCCCCCTAATGCACTAGTACGTCCTAGAGTGGGGAGAGTCAGCTCTCCCTCTCGAAACGCTCTCACATGGTCACGTGCATACAACCACTGCCATGGAAGTCCTACTCACTGCCTTCTCGTAGCAGAGGTGTTGTTTACGAAATTGAGAGGATGGAAAGCTAATGTCCGGCTCTTTAATCCGGTTGGTGGATACGGAGGATCCACCTGGGAGGGGGAGTTGGAAAACCCTGATTCCAAATCAATGGTGCACATGGGTTCCAGTATCCTGAGGGAACAAAAGGCTTATGAACCTATTGTTGGTCACTGGCTACCATGGGACTGCATCACCTTAAGTTGTTCCACTGCCTTGTGGATCAGACGTTTAGGTCGAAGACTCGAGGAGTGGCCCCCACCAAGAAAACCACGTGCGTCGATTTGGGTGTGTGGGTATTATCCCAGCCGTCACACAAATCGAATGATTTAAGTGGCTGATATCTGTTTTGTACCTCCTTGTATCAATGTTTATGTGTTTGAATAAATAACTAGCTTAATGTCAAATACAAAGTATCTTTGCTCGGTTATTCAAGTACACCTAAGTAAATCAACTATCGAAATTCGTTATCTATATAGTATTTCATGTTGAACAAAAAAATCTGGTTATCCCTATGCAACTCCTTTGCTTTATGCCATATTTTTGTGATAGCGTCACTACTGGATTGGACACTTTCTCGATTATTCCACTTCGGGAGACGTATACTGTCATTTTGTTACCTAGCGGCATTGGTCACTACTCTGTGATAAATCAGTTGTACGTACATCTCAGTCATACAACAGGTCACTCTCAGCCCAAATAGAACCCTGGCAACGTCTCTTATGGTGAAACTAAGTAACACGGCATTAAATCTCCCAGGCAGCATAAGTTTCCTCAAGATTGTAGGTGCACATTGCTGAGTGTCAATTAGCATAAAACCTACACCCATAGCTTCTTGACAACTACATGCAACTACCTAAAATATTCATGTTTGTGCAACTCACTCAAATCATGCATACCGCTGAGAAGTCCCGTACTAGGACGAAACGGCCGTCCAGTGCTTCCAGATTTTAAATGGTGGTGTAACATCGATCGGTTCATGATCTCAGTAAGAATTCAACAATCTCCACAACCCTATACTGATAATTATCATGTGCTCACTGATGACCGACTTGGAGGGGTTAATTCTCAGAGTTCCAGTGTGGAGCTGTAACCAGTGGAGTTCAACCGTTTTGGGTGTGAGGCAGTTACCCACTGCTGTCCAGTGCTTCCAGCTTTTCAATGGTAGTCTAACAAACTAAATCCGATCTAGTTGAATGATCTCTATTTTCTTATGTCGGATAATAAAAACCCGCCAAGATGAGTGTGCACATGCATGTTTAATTATAAACTCAGTATTTAACAACTGTAAACCTTAATTGTTTCAAATTTGTATGAACAGAGTTTGTAATTAACGTTAAAAATGTATGTATACTATTCATATGGATCCTCTCGGTACGATGTTATCAAGATAAATGTATTTTCTACTATTCGTTTATTCTTAATATTCATTTTTTTTCTTTTTTTTTGTTCTTTAAGTTGCTCTATGGAAAAGAAACATCATCAAATTTATGGACTGAACGTCCAACACCAATAAACGAGTCTGTTTTATCATTGTCGTCGACTTCATCATCATCTTCAACAATAACAACATTATCTCATTGTATTAAAAATCCGACTAGTGAACAATCATCAGTTACTCTTTGTAATAATTCAGATAATCTAACCACAATCAGTACTACAAAGGTACAAACCACCTCATCTCAATTACCTTCAGTTAATACTGCAGGCTTAAAAGATAAACAATATGAATTGACAAATCCTTTAGTGGACTATTCTTATGAGGTAAATTTTTGACTACTTGTATCATATTTATGTGTTTTAATTGTTCTCATTTTTTTTAATTATAATTTTCTTAAGAGTATGATTGAGTGTTTTAACTTAATCTAGATTGAATAAGTCTCAGTCAATAAAATGGAGAATACTAACCCAATTAGAAAGTCGTAACATAATTCCAAGAGGTGATTATCATGCTGTTAGTCTAGAAACATCCTATCAACTGATATACAAAACAATAATCGATTTCGTGCAACCCTAATTATCCCCGACCGTTGTTGCTAGCTTGACGTGGTGGTCGGGCTTGCCTGTCGTGATGAAGCGACTGAGCTATACTGGCTGGAACAACGGTTCCTCAAGGTCCTGCCATGTCAGACAGGTCGGTTGAAGAGCGGTAAGACTAAAAGCAAAAAACCCAAGGTCCGAAGGCGAAGTCGTACTGCTGACTTTACAGAGGTGTGACAGCAGTAAGCTGTTTCCTTCAGACAACCAGCATGGCAGCGATGCTGCCTTCCCACAAGGAGGGGTGGGGTTAGAAAAGGTCAACCCTAAAAATGCACATCTCGCCTTATCCCACGGATATCCATCTCCGGCGGTAAGGTCTCAACAAATACAGAGCTAACACAAAAATTACCCATAAAAAGGTCGTGTGTGACCGACCTCAAGCAGTTGTTCCTTGGGCACTGCGGTCACGCTCCCAGGTCACTAAGACCACCTCTAATCCAATTTCCTTTTCAGGTACCTCCAGAAGAACCCTTCCACGGTGTGGGCAACCGGGAAGTAATAACCGCCCTCATACCTCTAACAGCATTCAAGACCACTGTATTCATAATCAACCTCCGAACCCTAATTATCCAACTTATTAGAATTATGTAGCAATTATTCTAAAATGTATGTATGTATGCATTATCCCTATTTTGTTTTGTCGAATTTCTTAAGTTTGTACACTTTTATTAAACCCTTTTTCGTACCATTAAGCTGTTACACTAATGTTTGTGATTTCTTCCCATTTGGAAATCCAGTATTTCCTTAAATTTGAATCTAAATTGACCAAAGAAATAGGTATTTAATAATCTGTTTGAATTTTAAATAGCCCCCACACAGTTAGGTTGGTGACTTCAAAACCCTCTTCCTTATTGGTTGGTTCTCAAAGACGTTAAAAATTCATAAATACTCACACTTTTCCTTTTGTAGCACTTTCATTTGGAGTTTAAGTAAATCTATTGTTTACTCTTGTCTTCTTGATAGTTGAGAGTTATCTCAAGATTCATCATTACTGGTATAGGGCAAGTTCGACTGAAGAATGTTTCTACGTTGCATCCACTATTACATTGATATTCCGAATCACGTAACTGAAAACGGATCATAACACTTCTTATTTTTATTTCATCTAGCGTTTATTAAATATTTTATAACTAGCTAACAACACCACTTTCCTTAAAACTGTCATCTTCATAAACTTTTCTCGCTTAGAACCAGTTGATCACCTAGAATTATTGTTTTCAAAGATGCTTGTAATAAGGTCCTATATTCAATGACTGTAATTTAACTCTTCTGAAGAGCAGTTGTGCTCAGGATTCTACTTCGAGTTCTACAAAATTCATTCTGAATGAAATATTCTATATTCATGCTACCATAAATCCACTTTGTCTAATGTGTACTTTCGTATCCAAAACGTTATCTATAGGCTTTTGATGGTTTGCAGTTTGGTGTTATCGCTCTACAACTGACTACTCAGAGTTTACGGGAAGTAGATGTCACCACCCTATATTGCATTAGCGTTGTCATCATGATTATGAAAAGAATATTGCATTTTTACTAGTTCATTACTTATGATAACCGATATACTACCATGTAAGTCGAATATGTAAATGCAGCTTTGCTAAGTAACATATGGTAGTTATTGACTTAACTAAATATCAGTAGATTCATGATTACGTACAATAGTTATGCATGCATTTTAATTAAGTCTTCGGGGTAATCAGTGAATAGTGAAATGTTGTAAGAAGTTAGTTTAGATATTTGTTATATAATTAATTGGTTATCCATTCTTAACTATTCAATAAGCAAAGATAGGTGGTGCCTAGCAGTGGAAACCAGGACACCTGCATCATCAACTCTGGGATGCAGATACATCCAGCTGACGAGTCCCAGATAGGATTCCACTTCTAACCACCATCCATCTTTGTTCATAATGCTTGTGAATTAAGGCCATATCGATGCGGTCCGCACAGGATGCACATATGCCATTAAGAGACTGGTCAATTACAGTTCGAAAAAGTGATAAATAGTTATTACCTCTCATGTAATAGTTTCTGTGTTGTAGTTTTCAGTAGTTCTTTCCGATGTGTCCTTGTTCAATAAAATTGCCATCCCGGATAATAGCCCAGTCCATAACCATTTAGTATTATCTAAGAAATTTTTTAATTGCATAGCTTTTATTGTCTTTCTCGACAGCATCATCAATGCTAATACTATTCGGTGGTGAAATTTTCAGTTATTCCACAACAGTTATACTTGTTTGTTCCTGTAATCTTGTTTGTAACTGGTTGTATTCCTCGATTTCATTGTCTTCATTTATTCTCGTGCTCATGTTGATCACCTCCGGTTGACCTCTAGCCTTGTAATTGTCTCATCGCTTCCATATGGGTCGATAGGTTGGAGGTCCATGATTAATAAAACAGTTGCTTAGCAGCATACAGGTTACGTGGTCACCAATTCTAGAACATAATAAACACCGTTTATTTACTATTCGTCACTAACAATTTTCATTCCTTTCACTTTTAAGGAATCGGACAGTGATAAAAATGGTTCACCACCTCCTCACAAGCGAAGTCGAACAACATACAGTGGCTCTGACTCTGGCATTGTTTGGGTTCCCGGCAATCATAATGAAAAATCCAAAAAGCATCATACTTATAAATCTTCATCAGATGAACATAAACGTCATAAGAAAAAGCATAAAAGTCGTCATTCATCTAAACACAGTTCTTCCCATCATAATTCATGGAATGGTTCCGACGATAACCATCACCGTCATAATCATCGTAATCGGGAGCTCGATCGTAGCAGTAGTCTGCCTCGTCCTTCTTCTCATCATCATCATGACAAGCATCGTCGCCGTCATCATCATAAAAAATATCGACAAGAGTCACCTGATTCCAAAAATCACCGCTTCCATTCACATCATAAACACTACAAACAATCTCATAGTCATGAAAATGGATACAGGTAAAAAAAGAAAGAAATCCCATTGTTTAATCTGCTGCTTCTACATCAAACAATTATTTTTTTGCATGCATTCTTACACTGATGGAACCTGTACTTCAATCTCTTTCTATCCTTAATACATATGATAAACACATTGTCTTGAATTGGCCTACCATATCTGCAAAGAAAAATTATTTTTTTCAAATGACAATGCAAAATGAATTCATTAACAAAGATCAGTATTTGTCTATAACCTGGTGTGTATTGCTTATGAAGTCACCTCTCTATTTCTTCATTATCCAAGCTTGTTTTTCTTTAGTTATTTTATATTTTCTCACTTTTGTATTTAAATTAGGTCTAATAATTCAAACATAAAAATGTACAGTTATGTTCTTCTTTTTTTTCTCTTCTATAAACTATCATGTTATCGACGAATGACGATTACACAACCAATTCATCCATATGATATAACATTGCATACATTAAGCCTATAAAAATTGAAGAAGAAAACAAAAGAGAAAGACGGAGATGCATTGTAATTTATTATTTCCTAAAATCCTACCAAATTTTAAATGAGGATTTTACTGCTCCATTAATTAACGTTCTGTATTATTGTCTTCAATGTTATTAATTCTTTTTTTTTACTTGTTTACTTTAAAGTGATGTCGACTACGCTTTTTCACTGTGTTTTTTTTTCTGTACGTAGCTATAAAAGTTTTCAAAGAAGAATTTTGTTTTGAGTCTCTAGTCTGTTTGATTGTTTGTTTGTTTGTTGAAGAAAAACCATTGTAGAAATTGACAATCTCATAAACAACAAAATATGTTGAAAGAAAAGTTCATAATCAATGAGAGAGCCTGTTTCAAATATCCATTTGACCTTAATACGGCTGAGAGTGGGAAGAGTCAGCTCTCCTTCTCAAAATGCTCTCACGTGGTCACGTGCATACAACCACTGCCATGGAAGTCCTACTCACTGCCTTCTCGTGGCAGAGGTGTTGTTTAAGAAATTGAGAGGATGGAAAGCGAATATCTGGCGCTTTAATCCGGTTGGTGGATACGGAGGATCCACCTGGGAGGGGGAGTTGGAAAACCCTGATTCCAAATCAATGGTGCACATGGGTTCCAGTATCCTGAGGGAACAAAAGGCTTATGAACCTATTGTTGGTCACTGGCTACCATGGGACTGCATCACCTTAAGTTGTTCCACTGCCTTGTGGATCAGACGTTTAGGTCGAAGACTCGAGGAGTAGCCCCCTAAGGAAACCACGTGCGTCGATTTGAGTGTGTGGGTATTATCTCAGCCCTCACACAAATCGAATGATTTATGTGGCTGATATCTGTTTTGTGCCTCCTTGTATCAATGTTTATGCGTTTAAATGAATACATTTGGTTCAATTCTCCATTACTGCGTTAGTACGACAAAATGAAACTGATATGTTGAATAGAAAAGCAGCTGAATTAATTTGGTCGCAGTGATTATTAGAAAGACTAAGTACTGAGAATATAGTTCAAAGCAAAACTTTGTGGAAAGGTATGTATTCATAAATACTGGGACTCTAGATCTATGGTATGACAGATTGAATGTATTTGCACCATTGTGACTGATTCTGAGACATGTCACACAACATCCCTAACCAATTATCGCACGATTGTCTTCATCAAACAACGTGGCTCATATTAAAAATTTGTGATTTCAGTGACATATAAAGGGAGTCGTTTTAAAGAGATATTTCAGCGTTTAACTAGCTGCAAGCGTAGAATGGTTCAGCTACTCATGTTTGAAAACTTGACAAGAATGAAAATTGTACATAGGATTGAAATGATTTATTCTGGTAGCGTACTTACATTGCCAGTACCATACATTCAGATCCTTCAGAATATAATCAAGCCTGACACCGCTGCTAGTTCCCGGTAATGTAGAGAGACGGTTAAAGACCGTCATTCAACTTAATTTGCTTTTGTACATAGCTTTCATTATGCATATAGTACCTTAAGAACTTCTCTTGCAAACAATTCTACAAATCTTTGCTGTCCTTACTGTTAGCTTATCGAATAAATCTGGGCTAGTATTTTGTGTGGAGATGTCCGAACATCTATGAAAATTTATTGTAGCACGGATCAGAAGAGAATTTATTATATTTTAAATCAGACACCATTTGAACTAAAACCTGTAAATTAGCTCCCACACCACTGTCATTGGGTTGAATTTGGTGAGTGAATATTCGATCATTAGGATGAAACAGAATGCTTATCGATAGATAAAATTCAATGATACTATACGAACGAGTAAAAACAGTCCATGAGAATGAATTATTGATGTAAGCAGCCATATAATTCCAGATTGAAGACAAGACCAGGAAATAGACTTTTCCTAATAGGACTTAAACTTAGCTTTTGCATTTCAAAAATTCATTAGATAGCCTTCATCTGCTTAAGTAACCATAGCAACTTGACTGCTTCAATTTTAGTGAGAATCCAAAGAGTTCGACCAATATGTCCTTTCTTTCTAAACCTCATTGATTTCTATTATTACATAGTGCTCAAACCGAAGCAGTAACTGTAACATTTCCGTTAGCCCTATGATAATGTTTATCTCAACTTTTGATAGGTTATCAACAGCTTGTTCTGTATGTTAATGTTACTGACTTAAGTCAGTCTTCACAGAACTCCTTATATCAATTGTCCTTGGTTTACATTAACCACTATTGGTTACGTTCGTAATTCATATGAAACCTACTTTGACACCTCTTTGTTCCCAGATCCAATCGTAATGAATCATCACAACTCTAATAGGTATTTTTAACCAAATAAGCATTTTTAGCAATTTCTCATTTACATTTCAACTGTTAGAATCCATAGAAATACAGTACATATGCATACATTAGCGTATAATGATGGTAATAAACGATCTTAAATATGTATAGACACTTATAGTCTATTCGGACTGATATTCGTGTAAGCTAAGTGTGGAATTTTTTGGTTTACATGATGAATGAATCATCAATAAAGGGTTGTTAAATTAAAATGGAGACATACCAACTATAATATGAGTAATGAAAATAAAAAAGTACACATAAGGACAACATATTTTATACACATCGTTTCCTTTAGTATCTTTGTTCTTGCTCTCATCAAAACTTTATATTTATTTACCCGATATGAAAAGGATAGAATATGACCCGGTAGTAAGTGAAGGTCAACGGAAGGCCAAAAAATAATTATTACATGTATATGTTTGGTTGATGGATTTTATTCGTTATTCCTTTATGCTTTGTAAAGAGTGTTGTGCAAAACCTTGAATACGTCAGTGGATCCCTATTTATGTTGGTGAGTGTCGATCTCTTACTATGTTTGTTAATTGCCAATACTAAACTTATTGGTTCAAATCTTTACATTATCCAATTTATGCTCTAGAAAACGATGATGGCTTTGATAAACCAAAATAACCGTACATTTTGTTTCCCAGTTATCTATAAGCAAAATGTTTAGAGTGTGCAAACCAACCACCGGAGTTATGGTTACAAAGACTCATTTTACTGTTTTAATAAATTTTTAAGTAATTATTCCTCTTTACATACTTTATACTGTCCTGATTTGTCCTCTCATTGAGAAAGCACATGATCACAAATGAGATCCAAACAGTGAATCCAAGACTAGTTGTAGTTTTCCTATGATTCTCTATAGTGACTATCGGAAAGAATTGTGTTAATTTGTTTGTATTGTTACCTTAATATCGGCATTGTCGAAATTACCACTGCTGGGGAAGAATTCACCATCAGGGCAAGATTATTATCATATGTTCTCCAGTCTGTGAATCAAATGTAGACTACACTTAATTGTTTTGAAATAATAAAGCTAGAGAACGATTATTAACTTGATAGATTTTTATTCTCTTAGTTGGGTCGTTTGATCGTGGAGATTTCGTCGTTCTTCTGAACGACATCATCAACACAAGCTGCAGGTAGAAGTGAAGTGTTCGAATTTCTCCACATTTAGTTCACAGCTTGTCATGTAGATCTCGATGTTGATTGGTTCTTGTTGACCGAAAATCTTCAGAACAAGCTGTGAACCACATGTGGAGAAATTCGAACATTTCAATTCTACTTGAAGTTTGTGCCGATGATATCGTTCAGAAGAACGATGAAAGCTCCATGACCAAACAATTCAGTTCAGAGAACTAAACTCTATCAAAATCATCCAGCTGAGCTACAAATCTTCCCCACCATCTCAACGATTATTAACTAAAACTTCTGTATTGTGACGCAATATTACTGGTATACATCGAATACTCACTGATTCAATGTCATCTACAGACCACTTTATCTGTACAACTCATTTTTACGACAATATTGACCTAACTTTTATTGATGAGCGATTTATAATTGATTGTTGTATGATCAGATACTGATTTGATATTTGCTTACCTTAACCTTCTCTTATAATCAGCATATTCTTTACTGGTATTCTATGGACAATAATAGTAACCGATATTATCAATAGTATTTTTCTCATTTGTTTTCCAAGCACTATTACAAGGTCAAGGACATGCATATGTATATTTAGATAAAGTAATAAACATCCAAATGATGATTAGTTTGTTGTGCTTATATAACTACAAAGAATGTTTGATTCTTATTGATGAATAATTCTGATTGACGTTCTCTGTTAGTGGAGTACATGCATATCTAGAGTGAAACCATCATCACGCAGTATCTTAAATGGATTGAATTTGGAAATGGGCACCTACCAAATGGTTATAATGGTAAAGTCCTTGTTATCTAATTATCTCTGCTCCTCAATAATACTCCAACTCAGATTAAATCGGGTTAAATAGCTTCTACAGAACACCAATATAAAGATCCATTTCTCTATACAAATCGCTTGCTCGTATGAATTCATTCAATAACAATGCGTTTAATGTATCATAAATAAATTCAATGGGTCACTATTCTGGTAGTCAAGGGTTATATTATTAATTAATTCAACCGTGATAATCCGTTCATTCTAATAATCGATTTAATTTTAACAAATTTGTTAATTATTTCAGTATAATTCTTCTTATTGTAGTCAGTTAGTTGCTATATCTGCTCAATATAAAAATACGTCATTATTATTAAAATATACTTAATAATCACTGAATAGAACCTTCATTTATAAAGAATAATATCCTCTCATAAAGCCTATATATTCTTCGTAACCATAAACTAAGGTTGTCTTCCTTGAACTTTCTAATAGCTGGGATCTAGATCAAAAGTATTATTGAGGGTATCGGTGGCTAGCAGTGGAATGCGCTTTTCGTCCTAATTGGAATTCGTCAGTTAGATGTACCGCCGTTCCGGAATTCATACTCCATGACTCGAGGTAAACCTCACTGGATACACATATGCCAATAAGAGTCTGATCAATTGCAGTCATAAACATTAATGGGAAGATTCAAAAAAATAATACAAAATGGATTTAAACTTCAACCCATTGCGCAATCAATTGGCTATCAGGACTCATTAGGTAAGTGGATAACGCGATTTGAAACTTTTGGAGTGAGCGGTACTGGGTTACAGTCACGGAGTGAACATCAACTCTCGGATGCAGGTACATCCAACTGACGAGTTCCACTTAGGACGGAACGCGCATTCTGGATTCCACTGCTAGCCACCATCTATCTTTGTTTATTATGTAATTTTATATTTATATAATTTGTAATGTAATGAAATTAGACTCAT